TTATTAGCAATGTTCTTCCGACGTCTGTTTTCTTTTTAAAAAATGCGTTTCTAAAGTGCATAAACCTTTGGGATTGACTGCATAGCCAATACATCCTTAAGTCTGTTGTTCTTCAATCGAAAAGACTGGATAGTTGTTAGTCATCGTGCCCCGTAAATTGGCGTTAGATAACAATTTGATTTTAATACAATAATTGCTTTGCCAAGAGCTAAATCGAATCGAACAAGTTTCTTTTTTTTTTTTACCGTCAGAGATGCTCCTTTCTTGTATCTTATTGCGAAAAAATGTGCGAATTTGCGTGGTTTAAACACACCGTTAGTGCAAAAAGCCACATGTAACGAATTATCCCTCGATAACGAACGATTAGCCTAAGAAAGTTTCGATGCGAAACGCAGACCGAAAATACGCCTGCCTTTAACTATTCAACTCTTTGTGGCTCGTACCTTATCATCACCTTTAACGAAGTTATTTCTCCTCGGTGATATCGCGTGTCATTAGAAAGGTATTTGAAATAAGTTATACGTCGACGGACGATCGAAATTGTTTGATAGATCAACGCGTTCCGATCCGGCGAGCCACGAAGCGTTCAGGTTTACCATTTACGAGAACGCGAGAGGATCTAAATGTTTAATCATTACTTTCGACGTGCCGATACGATTAGAGATCGGCAAGAAACGGCATCGGTAAAAGCAGTCTAAGCTCCTCTCGAACGTTCGCTTTCGCCGACGATGCGTCGATGCATTTACAATACATACGTTAATATTACGGCGACGAGTTCGCAACATTAGCAAATTTAACGGTGACTTCGTCCCTCGTTTCGTTTCCATCTTCTATCTGCCGGTAACGACGTTCTTAATACTGTCTCACAGTAAGCCGACGTTGACTATCAATCGCATAAACACGGACTCGCTCAGCTGGGCGATAATTTACATTGTAGAAAATAGAGAGCGTTAATTAATACAATCGTTACATTAGGAATGTCAGCGGCAGTAATCAATGTAAACGTTCCTTTCAAAAATATACGATCGGTCTGGCGTCGAACCAAAGAGTCGAAACAATTTGCGCTGAAACGGAGGAGTGAGGAGCGAACCGATTCCACGCGTTCTCGTAAACGGGAATCGCACATGTGCAGCTAATTATATGACGCTAAGAGATTTAGGATTACGTGTTCTTGGTCCGTGGAGTATTAAACGTTAACGACATTAATTAGTTTATTTATCAACGCATCCTATCATCTAAACGACAGCTTGTTCACTCGCGGCAGGTGACGATGCGTATAAAATGTATAGCAATAGGTAATGTCAACGTTCATCCCATTTTTTGTTGTTCGTTTTACTTTTTTTTTTTTTTTTTAAATCGACTTGTCGTCATCGATCTCGGCGAAATTTTCTTTCCTCGAGTACTCGTTCCCCGCTTTCCTCTGTCCCTCATTACCGTCCAAAATAATTCGCCGAGCTCGAACGGATCCCCATTGAATTACAGTTTCCCTGCTCCGTTCGATAGATAAGATAAATCTCAAATTCGTTTTCTCCTTTTTTTTTTTTTCGATCGGCAAACTCGGCAATATTCGTTGTGTCTGATTACGCGTTATTCTCGGATATTAATTACAATAAGAGAAGCTTATTCTCGATTATGATCTACGGTTCTAATCGTCGCAATCGTAATAAATATAGCGAATTTGATTCTGATTATTCTAGTACACGTAAGACGTAATACGGTTCTTCCTTTCCTTTCTCGCGTCGAGCTCGATTACTCGCTCGAGGAAAAGTGATTTCCTTCCCGACGATCGGCTCGCGATTACCCGAGACGCGCGAGCGATCGCGGTTACACACTTCGTTTCAAAGTGTCTGCGACGATGGAATATTTCGGACCGCGATTAATATTGCTGAACGATCGGCTGGCTTCGTACGATTTTTCCGAATCCGTATTTTCCCCCAGCCACGCATCTTTCTGTACAATCTCACCCACGAGTCTCGCAGTAAGAATAACGTTCATAAATAGCGATAACGATTTTTAATAGTACGGTAATAGCGGTATTTAGTAGTGGTGATAATAATTACATTCCTTTTTAATGGTAACAATATAGCAATATAGTAATAGTAGTAGTAATATAGTAATAATAACGATGATGATCACAATGATGATAATAATAATTAATAATAATATTGGTAACAATAATAACAGTAATAGTGGTAGTGTGTCGACGGTATCTAAAGATACGCGGGCTGTTCTTTCGAAGAAACGTCGAACGTTATCTCCCACAATTCACTCCTCGAATTTTTCTCTCCGAGACGCGCGCGACAAATTAATTTTCGTTTTCTTTTTATCTCTACGTTTCTTCCCGTTAAAACGTCACTTTGCTTCTCTCGCGGACAAAGCGTTAGCGTTGCTCGAGTATCGAATATTGGGCACTTTGTTAAAATCTAATCGCAAGCTTTACCCGTATTACGTTAATTTCCCCCTGTGTGTACGTTATCGTTTCGATCGAGTCTCGTTCGCGTATATGTATATGCGTTTATTTAAATTTCATCGGAACCGAAGAAGAGACGACGTGGAAAAGAACCGATTTCGAATTCGAATCGCCTATCTCCGTGCACGTGTTTCGTCAAATATTTGGTTCGTATCGTAAAAGCTGAACGGTCAACGCGGAAAAGCCTGAAAACGCGTCAAAAGCTTCGATGAAACGACGATTGATCAACCAAATTCATATGCAGGTATGTATATTATATGTATATTTATATGAATATATAATATAATTATATATTCTTCTTTGTACAGCGCGGAATTGTATACCTCGTAGTCCTGCTCCCTCGGTTGAAAGCGAATGTCTTTTCTCCTTTTTCATTTCTTGCTTTGTCAAAGGTCTACGAATATAGAGCTAATTCGCGATCACGTTAATCTCTGCGCCGCGTTTAAGTACGGAGAAAAGGTCGATATTTAAGTAAAAGGCGAATCACGAGTCAGCGATTTCATGGACGATACTTACATCGACCTTACTTAACTTTTTAGTGGGATTACAATTACAAGTAAGTAACGTTCCTTAAGTAAATTTGATTCACTATTATTTACCTAATCATCAGAAGCATCCTCGAATTAGGGGCGTGACTAGCCAGTAGAAGAAAAAATTGGTAAAGAAACGAACGTACCTGCGTGTCCGCGTCTTCCCTTCGTCTCGAGTATTCTCACCCGCCCGTTCACTCGCGCTCATTCATTCTCACTTTCTCGCCTCTATCGCACTCCTATTCGCTTGTTGCTGGTGCGTACGTCCTTCGTCGATTATTTATTTAACGTGAATCGAGCTTCTTCCGATAAAGAGTGCTTTTATAGAATTATCACATGTGAGAAAAGATGAGGAAAAGGCGAATCTCCCGTAAACGTTCCGAGAAAGAAGAACAGTTTCTCCCGTCTCACTCGACTTCCCTTTTTCCTCCGAAGCCAAAGAAAAGATATAGCTATATGTACATTATACGTATTTGACGGCAAGTAGAACTTTGCGGTAACTGCGGACCGGAGACAAGATCGTCGAACAATCTCCTCTCGTAGAATTGAACACGTTTCGTTCGTTCGACGATCCCGGCTACACTTTCTCTCCCGATCGCCGGTTCCCCGTTTCGGGACATCATCGGACTCCGTTGAATAAAATCGAGGGACGGGTCCCTCGACGATCGATGCTCGTAAGACTCGTCTCGTGTATCGCTTCCGGTGACTGTCTACGAGGAGCCTTTGTAGTGGATGAAGAAAAAGGTGAGGAACATGAAGTAAGCGACCGGGAAGGTAATTCTTGCTATCACGTCGATCGTCTTCGCCACTCTGATCGGATGAGGCGGCTCCTTCTTTCTCAGCTGTAACACGACCGTGAGAGATCGTTCAGCAGATGAAACGCGTCGCGCATTGAAACATCCACCGAGAAATTGGAACGCGTGTATCAATTAGAGTCAGAGTTCATGTTTGGTCGGACTGTATCAAGGCTTTTCATGAATCAACAGCTATGGCCTGATCAGACAGCAAATATCGATCCTCGGGAGTCGGAGGGTGGATGTTTCGAGGCTAATAGCGATAGGAATATAGGTAATTAACATACCTCGGCTGTACATCCGTTGGTGGCCGTGTGCGTGCAAGGGTTGGGTCCACAATTGGTGCAGGTGACGATCTCGTTCGGTCCTGTGGTACCTCCGGTCGGTGGACCGCCCTCTCGCTTCTTTTTACCCTGCGACAGGGTCTCCGTAGAAGAAACTAATATTCTTACGATCTTTCACGATCTAAACAACGATCCATCCTTCGACCAATTAATCTATTTCACCGTTTCGAGTCCTCTTTTTCTTCGTTTACAGTTCCATTCGTTTTCAGTGACGAAAGGTGACCGATATGTCGGCGCTAATTACGACTCGTCGTCGTTTTAACGACGAACGTTGAGAGAACCGCTCGTCTTCCGTCTCGCCGAGCCGCGAACGTATTCCGCGGCGAGATGGACGGGGATTGAAAAAAATATAGAGAAAAGAGAAGAGAAAAGAGAGGATCGGAAAATTTCGCTCGGATAGGTTGTTATTCCATTCGATCGTCTTAGGGAAAGTTGGTCGGGGCTAGGCTGATAGACGGGCTTATAGGCAGCTTCGTTCAGCTTCTAACGATAATCGATCGTTCGAGATGACAAGCGTATAAGTAAGTTAAGCGTGATAAAGGCTTTGATCGAGGCGAACAAGCTTGCACGTAGAGGCGTGAGATATATTCCGAAAGTTGTTCGCACGGACACGTCGGCCACCGTACTCTCTCTCTCTCTCTCTCTCTCTCTCTCTCTCTCTCACACACTCCCTCTCCCATCTTCTAATTACATATCTAATTACATACAAAAGTGATACTCGCGCCGACGCTTGCGAAAACGGCCTCGATATCGGAAAACGATCCTGCGGCCAGTTATTTGTAAGCCATAACGCGTTCCTCCTTTGAATGTTAGAAGTAAGCGAGGTCAATGCTTATCAGCCGTTAGAAATGGCAACTATCGCGTTACGTTATAATCGTGAATCGCACAAAGCTCGTCGAAACGAATCGAACACCGCTTTTGTGAAATCGTCCCACTACGAAAGCAGACGGCGGCGGTTGTTTGATCGAAAAGCGAATCGTTGTTTCTCGTTTTAATCTTTGTTTGCCACTTTGTATACGTATCGAGTATGTATTTATATTTATATATATATATATATATGGATCGATAGTTTCGTGCCTCTGCGTATAACTTACGAATTACATGCCGTATAACATCTACGTTTTACCTAGTCGCATATCGGAGTCGAACCTTTCGATCTGTCTCATTGATCAATCATACATTAAATCAGCAAACGTGTCTCGATTCCGATTACTGCGACACTCTCTCTTGTAACAACTGTACATCTCTGATCGTAAGACTCTTTCCTCGGGTCACAGGTCCTCCGCATAGCGAAGCTGACGACCTACGATCTTCTTCTCGATTTTCGCACAGTTTAATACTCTGCCGTAGTTGTTAGGTAGAAGTCCGAGACCAAACACCGTTCGACTTCGTGATCTAACGTTACGTATCATCAGACTTTAGATGAATTAATCTGTGCGAACGTCAAAACCTCTATTGGCCAGTTGCGTTATGAGAAAGTTATTTTATGTCAAGCTTATGCTACGTGTCAAGCTTCAGTCCGAGTATGTTCAATGGCGATAAGCGATTGTCGATGTCACAATCAAGGCATCATGTATACAGAATGGATCGGCTGAATATTTTCCGTAACGTAAATAATTATTAATAATTAAATAAGTTTTCATAAGTACTTATTAAACGACGTTTCAGCGCGCAATCCAGCCTGTATACCAGTAATCGTATATGTATATTAGTAAAAGAATATTTATATATCTACTGATTATTACGATTGATAATATGTCGATCACGGTTAAAGAAGAAAGGAAAGCAATTAAATGTCGAACAAATTACACAAATGGAATGGCTCGTTGTCGCGCGTTATTATTTATTCACATCTGTTAATTGCGTACGATTAACAGTAATCATATTAAGTGTTCGTTAATATCGGTAATGGATCTACTGTACTATCGTTAATATGAACACAGGGAGCATGGGGATAGAATGATGAGCCTATTGAGAAATATTTTACTGCCGGGGGGTCTCGCTCGTTCCTTTTCCGATGGATCCTTGGTCCAAGAAAGAACAGAAAAAAAAAAAAAAAATGAAAAAAGAGATACGAGAGTTTATGCGTAAAATTTGTATATTGTCTCATATGTTTGTTCGGTTTGATGAATGATTTTGCAGCGCCGAAACGACCGAGGATATCTGAACGTTCGTTCTTCCGCGACCTAGAAGATCCTTCGATCTTCGGAATTAATGATCGGACCGAGAAAATAAAAAGCACCGCTCGCAAATCAAAGGATACACAAGCGAATTCATAACTCTCTCACTACTACTATGAATCTCTGCCAAATCAACTCTTTACTCAAGCAAAGCGCTTACGCAAAGGAAAAATGTTGTTCACGCGGACGTATATATATATACGTTCGGTCCGAACGATTCGAGCGGTACGATTGACACAATGAAAATAGAGATTACCGTTCGATCGAAACAATTTATACTCCCCCTCAGATTTCAGTGAATCAATCGTGTCGTTAAATCGAATCGAATCGAATCGCGTGAATTCGTCTGAAATCAGTTTGATCGAATGATAGTTTTACGATTGCTTCAGCCACGCTGTTCAAATACTTCCTCAGTCTACGGTGTTCGCGGCTTTGGACACGCGGTGTTCGAAAAACGACGATAGCCGTACGGTTCTTCGATCTGCAAGGGACGTTCAGCGAATATTCCGCCCACGGATCGTTCGCGGATAAACGTGAGAACGACCAAGGGACATCGAGAACGCATGTTCGTTTCGCGACGTTGGAAGAAGAAGAAGAAGAAGAAAAAGAAGAAGCGTTAATCGTTCGTCGAACTTTCACGGAGAATACAGGGTTGGCTCTCCTTTCATAATTATTCGGGAGTAACCGCTGATTCGATTTCGCGTCAGACAGAGCTCGAGTAATCGTAGTTTGTTCCGTCAAGACAACGAGAGGTGCAGAGTAATCGAAACGCAACGTATCATCACCGCACGCTTTTCCTCTTCTATCGTGCGTATGCAAATTTTACTTGCGCCTTCATGCATCGCATGCACTTCTTGTCTCTCGTGCATAATACGCGCAGTCCTGGATGTTCCAGCCCCGTCGTCCTGTTCGAAATTCATGCAGAACGACACGTCCGTTCGAGTGTAGCAAAAATTCAATCTTCATAGTCTATAGCTCGATTTGGAAGGGTAATGAATTCAGAAAGTGTGGTAAGGTCGAACGTGCGTCTCGTTTGACGAGGTGAAAGTAAGCAAAAGGGTTCTAGCGGCCGCGGTCTCTACCAACGTTGATCTACTCTACTTCCATCTTCATTATCACAGAATGCCCGTAAAATTCATCTTCGCGTCTCGATTATCACCGTGACTTTTATTAAGTAAGCAAAATACACGTTGTACGATAAGAGAAACAAGTTTCCTTCGGAACAACAGTTGTTAAAACAAAGTTAGATGAAATTTCGCAATCTGATGATAAAATGAGAATTTCCGGGCATTCTATGAAGCGATTATTTACGCAGCGCATGCATTTTGGCCGTGCAACGCGAAGTGGCTGCGGCTGTGTCTCTATCGGGGATGAAAGGAGAGAACAGGAGAGAGTACACAGTTATAGAAAGTGGAGAACCAGAGACAGAGAGAAGCTGTACGAGCACAGGCGGGAGAAAAAATACAATCAGCAGAGTACATAGAGGTCGGCGATCGTCGAGAAGGGCGTTCGGTAACAAACGCTTTGAAATAATCTTCAATTCCACGATCTAATTCGCTGAATAAGAAAGATTATGCACATTGAGAGCCGCGTAATCGTTCAACCGTAATTCGTGAACCAGAGAAACCCTTGTATTTTGATCTCGCGTGCATATAGTGTCAATCTATAAGACGAGTTTCTTCGACGGTTCGTTGCAAGAAAAGATGAGGCGATCGATCGGCTCAAGTAAGTGGAAGAAGAAAATGTCTTCTGTCGCGTAATAGGTAGACGCGAGCAACGATTTGATCAATCGCTGTTGTATACGAATAGAATTTGGTTCGCGAACGTCCCCGCTCGACGAGTGGTTGGTAACGCGCTTAGCAAAGGAGAGAAGGCCAGAGAAAGATAAGGGGTTCTCTCGAACGGTACATAGCAAGAGAGAACGAATGTATATATCGGTGTGTATACACATGTGGATGTACGTGTGTGTTTGAGAGAGTGTGGCTGGTAAGGTGGGTCCGTGTGTGGTTCGTCAGGACGCGGTTAAGACCTTGCACGTGCACACCAGTATTTCACATTTCCGAATAGATTGTCCGAAACGAGTGGTAACGGGGAACAGAGAGAAAGAAGAGGAACATAGGTGACCGCGCGACATTCCCTTCCCCCGTCTTTCGACTTCAACCGGAAATGTTTCGACGGACAGCGAAACGTGACCGAGCCGGAATCGAAATCGGAATCGGTATCGAATTCGGACCGAAATCGAAGCGTTTCAAAGGGTATTAACGCGCGAAGTCGTGACCGCGCCCTAATGCTATAGGGGGTCTTACCAAGGGGCTGGCCAATATAATCCCTATCCTGCTGAGCACCGCTGGGAGCCGCTGCAACATCACAGACACCAAACAAAGAGACTTACTCACCAACATTTCCACCAACCAAATTCTTACTAATCGTGTGTGTGTAACAACGTGTTATCATCGCTTTTCTCATCTTTCTTTTTTTTTTTTCGCTTTTTCTCGTCGTTCTCGGGGTCGGGGGAGAATGGTACATAATATATCGTCCGCGATTTTTTTTCCACGGTTTTCCGCATCTTCTTTCCTTGCTCCTTTTTATCGTTTCCCCGTGGCTGGCTACCCTCGCGACACGCGAACGCGACGAAGCTACGATAAAACGATTTAGCCCTAATTGTAAGATTAAATCTCAGACTCCTCGAACGCTTCTCGAGCCACGCTTCTTGACTCTCCGACGCGATACACTCGAACCGAACGATGGCAAGAGATTCGATTCTCTTGCAACGATTACACATTTTCCGATTTTCACGGTAATTACTGAAAAACGTGTGCAGATTTTTCTTGGCTCATTGCTTTAATTCCGGTTAGTTTATTATTTAAGCAGTTATGTCTGTCGTCAGCTGGTGGCGCCCAGCAAATCTTCGAAACAGTTCGTAATTACCTCAAGAAAAGAACTTTTGAGAATAAAGTCAAGCTCGGAGGACGGCGTAATCCCTTGACCTTAATGTTCCTCCTACGCGTCAACGACTATTCGTTTGCGACTGCGGACGCGCGCCGGACGAGATAAACTTTCGCTCTAAATTTTAGAGCCGAAAAACGAGACCGCGTTTCGCGACAGAACCGGATAGAGAGAAAAAAAAAAAGGGCACGCGTATCGCTGTCGAGGGTAAAAGATGTGTAGGGATAAAAAAGAGAAAATAGAGAGTAGATTATACAGAAAGAACAAGAAGGGGGGGTAAAGAGTGTGAAATTGTTGGAGACATGCAAATACTGCAGCCTCGAACGAGTTCGACGAGAGCGTCGGAAACTTGCCGGAAAATCGTGCACGAGCACTTTACTTCTGATTTTTAAGCAGGCACGTTCCTCGTGCGCAACTTTCACGGAAGTGTCCGTGTAGCGTGTGTCGTGTGTCGCACGAGTCTCGCCGATCCATGTTGTCGAGATTCGGAAAGAAAAAAAGATCGTGATATGTATAATACCTCTTCAGGAGGAGTATAACAATCGAAAGAAAAACTATGTAGGTAAATATACACACACATATAGATAGTAGGCGTAGAGAAGTATTGAGAGATGCAGCGATTGTAATATTGAGTAACAAACCATACCGTGTCTGTGCATATGTTCACGCCAACGAGATCACAATGTGCCACGCGATGCGAACGCGATAAAAAACCAACCAAACTGTCTCTCTCACCTCAGCGATTACTCGATACTACGCATGGGACATGGTGTGTCACGGTTACGCGCATATTCGAACAAATATCGAGCATTTTTATTGCGTTCACATTCGGAGCCGCATTTAAGACACGCGCCTCTTCTCATTTATTCAACGCGCCTCCCTTTTCTTTACCTGCTTTTCCTCCGTCTCGTTTCGCGATGCCCTCCTCTTCCGTCATCACGATTTTTCATCTACGGCACTCATACGTTTCCGTCGCGATACATTAGCGAAGAGAGAAGTGGGCAAACCTTTTACCAAACATGGCAATGCATCTACGTACGTAGTCGAGCTGGCCTGACGTTTTTTCCTCTATCCACCTCCGTCCATTTACGCGACACGACGATTCCCGGGTTCGATTACTCGCGCGAGAACTGACAATTCGAACGTTTCGCGTCCCGGATAAAAATGAGCTATGAATCATCGACAACGTCCTTATTGAAACCGCGTTCGCTACCCATTTACTTATAAACGTTGTCGGTGATCAAGGATGATATTAAACTCGGTATTAACCGAATGGTTAAAAAACAAACTGGAAGATGGTTTGTTCATGAGTATGTGTGCGTGTAATGTCATCGTACCGAGTTCAAGTCAGCAACAACGGTATACTGGTGATTTGTACGCGAGAAGGTAAACGACTCAAGTGAATAAGGCGTTTCGATTGTTCGGTGCCAATCGCGCGATCAATTTGTCCACGGAACCGCTTCAACGCACGCTCTTCTTTCAGACTATTGTTACGGTTTTACTTTAGTCTAGCACCTATCGGAGATGCGGTGTTCCTATCGGTAACGAGAGAAGACTCGTATTCGCGATACTCGAGAAGAAACGCTATAATACTCTACCGTGGGAAACGAAAATAAAAACGTAATAATACAGTGGAATGCACAACTCGTTTAGGGGATTAGCGGTAGAAGTCGATTGAAACGGAACTACCGAGTCTCGGTACGTACATAGAAAAAAAGCAAGTGGATTTAAAAGAGCGCGCGACAACGAAATTAAACAGAGAAACAAACGGATCAGATCGGATCCGATCGGATCGGATCAGGTCAGATCGGGTACGAGATGGAGAACGAAAGAGAAATGGATACGGTTGTCGGATGCGGAAAACAAGAAGCGAGAAACCAGAACGCAAAAAAACGATCCGGGATCGAAATAAAAGGAGAGACGTTTAAAGAAAATCGATCGACAGAAACCAAAGCGGATAAAGAGAAAGAACAAGGGCTGGGCTGACGAAAGATCGGAAAATCAGAGTTTCAGACGTGTACTTCAAATACACGTGTCAGCCGTGTAGATTAATTCGATTCGACGAAAGATCGACTCATCGAATTGAGAATTATTTTTTAATTTAAAGACTCAGTTAATATCGGTGGCTGAATCAATTTACATGGCTGATGAATTCGGAAAAGCGAACCGATAAGACTCGAGGTAAGGTAAGTAAGTAATAAGCTCGAGGTACCACGAAACAAGAACGCGAAAAGACAGAACGAAAGTAAAGAAGGAAGAAGAAAGACAGTAAAAACAATATACGTGAGGTAATAAAGGTAGAAAAAACGTAGGAAACGTATAGATCCTAGACGGTGTAGAGTACAGGAATAGATAGATAGATAATGCGGGTGGTGTCGATAACGCCACGATGGGTGGTCGGCGGGTAAAAGTACCTGGGTGACGGGATTCTCTCCGGGGCGATAGACGACGTTGTGCATCGGCCGTTTGCGGCCGACGTAATTCACGCAGACGAACTCGAGGAGGCTGGCGTAGATGAAGCACATGCAGACCCCGTCCCACACGTTCATGGCAGTTAGATTCGACACGACGGGCAGCGTCGACCGGAAGCCGTTCGACGTCGTGAAAAAGTTGAGCATCGTCGTCACACCTGCGAACAGCCGAAAAATCGATTTCGCAAACTCCTTTTTCTTTACAAGAAAGGAAGTTTCGGCGAATAGCCCTTTTCGCGTCGTACCACCGCACCATATCAAGCGGCATTTCACTTAATCGACAGTTTGTGGATAAACCGCGGACTTTAAAATGAAACATTTATGCAATTGTTGCAATTTATGCAAACATTGAGATTGATAAAATCCGCGGTCTATGGGATTTGGAGAAACTGCGCGAGTTACGAGGACTCACCGATCATTACTCGTGCTGGCACCGCGTTCCACTCGAGCCAGAAGGTGATGAACGAGCTGGTCACCAAAATGATGCCCGGGATGAAGACGGTCGTGAAGTAGAAGGCACGATCTCGCGTGAAAATCAGATCCACCTTCAGGCAGCTGTAGTTACCTATCGTGCGTTATATATAACACTGGCATTACGATTCTACTCTCCCATTGACGCAATACAGCAAGCGATTAAAATCGATCGAGGCTAAACAAGCGATTAGTGTGATTATCCTTGCAAACGGCAAATAGTAAAGCGAACGCTTTTCATTTTCGTTCGATTGTAATTTAAATTTCTCAATCAGTTCTTTCAATTTAATGTCGTTTATTTCGTTCGAGAATCGGAGAAGGAAAATCGTCGAGATTCGCGTACTTCGGGTGGACCGCGACGATCGATGCTCCGAAATCATCGGCTTTCACGTCAACTATCGATGGCCGGGCTTTGTAGAACGAACGGGGAGGAATGGGGGAGAAGTAGAAAAAAATATGTAGAAAAAATAGAGAAGGGACAAGAGGACACTATAGTGTCGTGTCGCCAACTTTCCACAATTGAAGCTCCACATTCGCGAAAGCATTTCAAGCCGAGCCAGAGAATTAACGCGTGAACGTCTAACGGGTTACGGAAGATTCAAGGGAAGGGGAACGACGACATCAAAGTTTAAGAAATGAAAAAAGAACGTATGCCCAAATTGGTAAAAGGAAAACGAACAACCGTCTCTGATAAACCAATCGAGTTGACCGTCGATCAAGAGGACGAGGATTAATGGTGATCTGTGCAGCAGAAGATGAACCTCGTCGTTCGAAATTCGACGATGGGATGAACGTCGTACGTTTATCAATGCATAATAAAAAATGAAAAAAAAAAATAAGGAACAATTGGGAACAATAATGAAGCGGAAGCGAAGCATAGACTAAACGATTCAAACAAACGTCTGGAACTGAACGAGGTCCAGCGAGTATGATTGTATTCGTACTCAGAATGTGGACACAGTTACATACAGTCAAAATAACATCACTAGTCTCTCGTAACGTTCTAAAGTACAGGTGACGCTCCGCCAAGTGATTAACTACGAACCAAACGCTTCTACCCCTCGTTCGGTCAAGTTTTTAATCACTTGACGAAGTCGCGGTCGATACGATGGCGCTTCCACCCTTTCGCACCGCGCATTCGCTTTAGCGAATTTCGAGGGTCCTCCGGAAATGCTCGATTTACCGTTAACCAAATAAAGATGCGAACAAAATGTTCGATGCAGGATACCGAGACTCGTCCTCCACTCGTCTGTTAGTCGTTCTGGGTAACAAAAACAGAGACGAAGAAAAAGTGGACGAGTCGAGCGTCGGGCAAAGAACTCGGCCCAGTTTGCTCGCCTCTCTACTCGGCTACGGTAAACCAAGCTTAACGATTCGCGTACGTACCCTCGGAGGGACGTATTTCACGTTCGACTGAAACTGTTTGGCCAGCAATTTTCATCGCGCGAAGCTCGAGAACGGGCACAAAGGGTGAAACTACCGTGAGTCGTCGACAACGTGGGTACACGATCGGATCAACTACTCGGGATAATGTTTCCCAAATTCCTCTGCCGTGGACAGTTACGCGATACGTTCGGATTAAAATGAAAATTCTGTTTCTCCTCGTCCAGGGAAGAGGACGATTTGGGAAGCAGCGACTTTTAAAATATCTACGTCTGTCTGACGGGTTGGTAAACTTGGTCCTGTCTCTCCCTCCCTGATATATATCTCACGTGGCTTAGCTACATTCTTATTCTCCTTTCTTTCATTTACTTCATTCTTCTCTTTCTCTATCTATCTCTGTCTCTATCTATCTCTCGGAAGGAACATATCATTCGTAGGGGAGGATTTTACCTTGCTCTTCAAACCTGCGCTGGCACAGCGAGCACTTTGAGTCCCCGAATTCATCGAACTCGTCCTCGTAGTCGACCATGATCTGTCCGTCAGCTGCAACAGAACAGCCCACGATCTTCCTTCCTCTCTTCTTTCTACCTTTTATTATTTTTTTTTTTTTATAGATCTTTCTTTCTCTCGTCATCTATCAGTTTCCTTTTTCGCTTGTCCTCGCTTCGCTGCGGAGGGGACGGATAAATCTTGATTACGAAAAGAGTTCGATCGACAACGCGGCTCTGATTCCATTAAAAAGTAACGCTGAGTCGTTGGAATCGCGTTAGAAGTTTTATCAGGGTAGAATATTCCGATATTTCGGGACGATAAATGGGACGGTACCGGATAAACGCGAATTGTAAAGAGACGTAGTCGGTCGATGTTCAAAACGCGCGTTATCGGAAATATTGGAGAATCGTTTAACAAACGCAATTAACAGATCGCAATTAACAGCGTGTTACGTATTTCTCCCGGTGTAATCGTGTGCAAAATAAATTAAAATGTGTGTCGTTCGTTCTTCCTTTCCTACACACACTGTTCGACACGTTAATCATTTCATCCAGTCTCGTATATTTCAAAAGACACGTTCAACGAATTGTTTTCATTCGTTAAAATTCAAACGGTTTAGGAAAGAAAGAGCTGCGTGGTGCGTGAGATAGTAAGACGAAACAAAGATAGAGGATGAAAGCTATACGTCACAAACAGTTGGCCGACGAGATCGATTGTCGTGTGAAGCGAGAGAAGGAAACAAACTTGGTGGCGGCGAAATTGATAGATAGTATCGGTAATCTCGTTAGCGTATAATTTGTAACCGCGGTAAGATCTATCCGTCCTCCTGGCTTAATCGCATGCGATCAATTTTTTTTTTATTTTACACAGATTGCCCTGGCGATCATTCGATCACAGATAGAACCGAGTGTTTTATTTTATATTGAGCCAGAGCGCAGAGGAAATTTAATCGTTGGGCTAGCTAGACCAAGCATTATACCCGTGTACCGCCATGGTTGATCCCTTCAGGGTAAAGTAAACGAACACGCGGACATTCATTGCAACGCTTGTAGTGCGAAAAGAGAAACTCGTTCTCTCCCTTTGTTACCTGTAACGAGAATTAATCTTTCACCCTGCTCCGTCTCTTTGTTAATCGACACACTCGGTGAACTCTCGTAAAAAAGACACAGGCAAACAACGGTTTTAGTACGGTTTCACCCCGGCAAGCTGCAGGTATCGCGCTTTCGACTGAAAGGGGGGGGAAAAAAAAAAGGAAAGAAAAGACGTTCAAGCTTATCACTGGCTGCGTAAGCTGTTTACGTAAAGAGCTTGTAAGCGATCAAGGTAACGGTTAGAAAACAGTTAGCTCAAACAAGATACGTATTTCGATCATTAATTCCTAATTAGCGGCAACGCATTCTTATCGCGCATTAAAGAAAAAAGTTCTCGACTTTCTGATTCGGTAAATTATTGAGGCGTGGGAGAAACTCGCGAGAACGCGGCGGTGTTCGAGGAACAGAGAGCACAGGGAACAACGTGGCACCGGTTAGGGCGTCAATAATACCGAATGTATTAATAATAACGATAACAATATTAATAGTATTAATGGGTTTTGTTGAACTGAATGCCTCACCCCAAAAGCAAACCACGGCGGGCTCGGTTGTAAAGCGAGACAGGAACCAAGGTTGCCAATATGCACTTTCTAGAGGAGCTATGTATCATCTAGATGTAGTATATGTATATATACTGTATGTATACATGTACATACATAAATGTACAATTGGATATATGGTATGTACATATATACACACGTAAAGAGAGAGGAAGATATAGTATGTACGTGTGAATATAAAATACGTATCTACGTCAACTATTTAACAAAAGTGGACACGACAGAAAAAACAAAGTTTTGTTCGTCGTTTCATGATAGTTAGGCTACGTTGCATGCAGAACTCGTTTTCCTTAATTCCCTTCGATTCAATCGTTCCACGTCTCGTTTCCCCTCCCGTATTATTAGTACAGTCGAATTTCAGCGTAAACCGCGGACGATAGCGACACGCTATATCATCGGGAATGCCGTTGTTATTAACTGAAACTGATGCGGTGCAACAGAGGATCAAGCGTCGATAAGCAACGTCAAATCAATATGCGTCGCGCATGCATCTGTGACTTACCTTGCCCGGAACCAGAACTGGAACCGAAACCAGAGAGAGATCACCGGGTACCTATTCGATCAAGTTTCGAGATTCGATTTCGAGAGGATCGGTTCGACATCGACGATCATGAAGAGATGCGAGAGAACGGACGAGAAAGTTGGCAACCGGGTCATAAGCAGAGGAGAACCAACACACGAGTGGATAATATGCACAGAACCAAACACGGGAATAATTCGAATAAACGAATACAAACCGAAATGGAGGATAACATGGTCGAACCACGTCTCGTTTTGATCTTAAATCTGCGATTCCTTGCCTCGTTCGCAATTCCAGAGGCGCGATGCCTTTATCCCGATGAGGAATAGAGAGTTCGCGTGCGGATCAAGCTCAGACTGGACAAAGCCGACATCGGTAAGACGTTCCGTGAAAGAGGAGAACGAATCGTGGAAAATGTGAGGTACGCAAGAGCCAGGATCAAGGATTATCCGAAACATAAGGCTTTAAATTTTTTTATCACTGCTTAAGCATCTTGAACGACAAGCAAGCTTGCAATAAATTAGTTGCAATCATTTTCACGGATAATTATTGGATTTAATCCTGTGAATTATGGGTCCTTTTTCGGGGATGGACTCTATTGATCGATTGGAAAGGTGAGGTCCTCCGGGAAGGGTGGAAAGGTTCGAGGGATGCAGAGCTTCAGGTGCATCGATTCGCTAACAGGTATCACGCTGCTTTTTTCCCATCCGGACGCTTGTTCATCGCGAAACAGATTGCGAAAATGTGCTCGGATTCATATCTTTAAATCGATTATCGTTGGAGCTTTTTGAACAGCTACCGCTTCTGAGAGAACGGAACTTTGGTAAACGCAGAATCATGCAGGATGACCCAGTGATCGACCCGACGACGGTACAGAGAATACGGTAATAGTAATATAATAATTGGACTCGAGTTTTCGAGTACAAGCGGCACTAATTAGAATAATCGTAAGATCGTAATATTTCGTGGACTAAAGAAATGGCCGTGTACGGTGCAAATGCGACAGTACAGAAGCGTGTCATTTATCAAGGATGCAATCAGAATCATAAAGGAGAACCGACAACGAGTATAGAGAATGGCGTAATTACAGCGACGTTCTTTATATTACATACGTAGTAATCTTTTCGATTCGACGTGCGTAGACTTTAATCACGAGCTTATCGTACAGTAACGTCAGGACTATCATTATACAGCTCGAACAATTTCCTTCCAAGATCTAAATCTGTCCATTTAACTTCTCTTTATTAAGTGCGAACAAATTTCGTCTCGTGGTAATAATAAAAAATGAATTTGTCAATTGTCAGAGCTGGACGATGATATTCTGTGAATTGTCTTGGATCGGAGATAATCGCGAACGCGTTTTTTCTCTTGGATCCGAGTATTCTTTTCTCGAGAAATATTTAATCGTTAATTCGCCGACTTACCTCTCCAGCTTACTTTGATCGGACAGGTGATTGTCTGGTTCTTAATGAGGTATGCGTTCAGCGACGTCAGGCTCGGACTTTTCCGCAAGGTTCCTTCGTCGTTCTTCCACACGTACGTGATCGCCGTTTGCTCGTACGATACTGAAGAAGAATAGAAAAGAGAAAACCATGATGAGTCGAAGTCAGACTGCACGTCTCGTTACAGTCTAGTCGAATTAGACATGTAAAACAGACGGAAATATATAAATTTATTTTTCTTCTTTAAAACAAAATGATACTCGAGACTTTCGTCAGATTCGACTGGACTGTTGGTGCAAAGAGAGTGAGACTTACTGCTCTCGATCGCGAATGAACACAGTGGGTCGTCGAAGGGGAAGATATTAAGTCTACCCTGGCAGGATAGGATGAGATGACGCCTGTAAAATCGAGGAGACCCTTCACGTCATTGTCCCACGTACGAACGGTGTTCGCAGGCTTCCGGATCGCAAATCGTCCGTGTAACGTCATCTTCGCGGGACAGGCTCGTTAAACTTTATACAGTGTATTAGGAGCGCGCGCGGAGATGCGAAATTGCACGAGTGCGGTTTACCGGGTGACACGGTTCACTGGGCACTTATCGCGCGTTTAATTGATCGTACCGATGCATTAGTTAGATTGATGTAACAACGCTCTACGCGAAATTTACAGAGGCAGACCTCGTACTGATAATCGGCAGTCAATTATTTATTTAGTTAATCCATAGTGGTGGCTGGGGTATGTTTATTAGAATAATTTAACGTAGCAAGAGAATTCTTTCTTAATCGTTCCTTTGGTTCGTAGATTTGTTCAATATTTATATATCATCTCAATATTTTTATCGAGGTCAGTGAAAGTATCTGAAGTCAACGAAGAGTGCGGATTTTATTTTCATACACTAAGGCCCGAATTTATAGTCATTTCTTAGTTCTCAGTTCTCAACTGCTTGTTGCATATTTATGTGTTTCGTGATACATGATTGATGAAAATCGAAGATATATTTTTAAACGTTTTATTTCATTATTGATTAAGATTTTTTAAAATATATCTTCGATTTTCATCAATCATGTATCACGAAACACAGATATGCAACAAGCAGTTGAGAATTGAGAACTAAGAATTGAGAACTAAGAATTGAGAAACGATTATAAATTTCAGCCTAAGTGTTGAATGACAACACGTTTTCAGTTTTTCGGTTGAAGAAACTATTAGTAAGACGGGATAACATTATCGTTTTCTTAGGTTGAACCGAAGTTCCTTATAGACGATAGGCGAGATAGATATGAAGCGGAAAGACTCGACGGAGGCGAAAGAGTACGCGAAGATAATATAATAAATTAATCGACATAAAATATAATGCGAAAGAGGGGAGAGATAGTATAAGTACCGCATAAGATAGTTGACGGTGCCGTTACGGTATATCCGAAGAGCGAAGTGAACGGGTATGAGCGGGTCCTTAAAGTCTCCGTGCATTATGAAGTACGTGTCCGGCAACCAGATATCGTCGTAATGGTGGATCGCGTTCAAAAACTCGTACTGCGATCGGTTGCTGTAGCGCAGCCGAGGGTCGTACCACTGTTGTTGCAGCAGGAACTCCACCTCGTATTTCTGTCGATGCAAAACCAATACGCGAGTCCCGCCGTTCGACGGTCGAACAGAGAATGAGTAAACGGGCCTCGAGATTTATCTCCCGGCGATCGTCGCGCAAGTTTAACCCTTTCATTGCCGGCGTCGAGCTTATGCGTAACGAGGTTCGCGCGCGGTGCGTAGCAGTGAAAGGATTAAGTCTTTGACGCGGGATAGAAAATGGCAATTACCAAACTGGACTCGTCGGGAGACGCCAAACTTAGCAACAGCACGCTCACGTTCACCGTCAAGGTTCCTGGAACACAGTTGGGCGATTGAAATGAAACACGTTCCGGCGTCGAACGTTGTTCTCGAAGCAGTCACCAAAAGAGCACGCTAATTCGAATAAAAACATTCTTCGGATTCGGAAGGGAGACGTACATATACATAATACATATACATATACGTGTAAAACTCGCATCGGGAAAGGGAATCGGTGCGGCGGCGTCGCTGTCGATTAAACTTGCCGTTACTCTTGAAAAGAACTCGTGCCAATGCAACGGGACAGCCTCGGTTTCCCTGACTCGTGCGAGCGACTTCTAATCATCGATTATTATTAATTATATCAATTACGAATGCGTGTGGACGCGCGGGCCTCTTCGCACGGTCAAACGTTAACCGGTTCGAAGATCGGCTCTTTACCAATCTATCGTTTCGACTCTAAGTATCAGATAATTCACCTTTCAATTTCTCTAGTTTCTGTACTACATTCGCGCAAGCCGTTACCTACTGTTTTATTGCGTAAGCTTAATTATGGAGCCATGCTGTGCACATGCTGTGACTAATTTCGTGTTCGTATCAGTGTGAAGCTCGCGGCCGGCCAGTTGGGACTCGATAATTGTGTCGCGGATAACATTTTAATTAACAATATTCCCCGGGAACGATGTTCCGTATAATTAACATCCCTTTAATCAGAATCAAAATTTCTATACTTTCACCAGAAGTAAAGAGCGTATCGAATAGTATTAAACCGGACTTAACTTCTGATACTCCATTTATATATATATTATATTTTATATTATCTACATATTCAATTATCGTATGAATGCATAAAATCTGCGGTGTAACGAGGATATTGGTAACGGGAAACGGGACGATGCCGTTTGATCATTAAGAGAATCGTTCGTTACGGAAACGGAAGCGGAAACGGAAACGGGAATGAGGATGGGAACAAAACGATCGTCGCAGCGACGCTTCGTCGGGCCTAATCAGCGACCGGCGACGTTCTTGTCCTCGACAGCGAAACGGACAATTTGCGACTCGCGTTAACAGACCTAACGGTAACGAGTCCCAACCGCAGACGCCGATCTAATTGGCAACGCATTCAGATCTACGCAAAGACAAATGCGCGCGGGTGCGCGCGTGTTGTGTGCATGTATGTGCGTGTGTGTAGAAACCAGAACAGCTGTGGTGTGTAGAAAACGGGTGGAGAATGGAACAGGGATGGAGAGTGACAATATCTAGAAATCGTATCGACGACCGAGGAACGGCCTGTTGGCTCCCCTTTCGCTCCCTCCAGGCGACGAAATGCTCCCGTTCGTTTCGATGGTCGTTATTAAAAAATAGAAAAAAATATGGAACGTATCGATCGACGCGTTATCGTCGCGTAAATTCAAGCCGGTCTTCGATAAGGGGGCCGAGGTTATTGTTACGTGCACTGGTGAACGAGGTCTGATCGCGTCGAACGCGAACGCGAGCACGAACGTCACGCTCTAGGTATCCTACGATCGGCGGGCGAACGCTTTTACGTCCTCCGGGCACGAGCTCCGCGTCTCGCGGGTTGCACGCTCGCGGTGAACATGTAAAGTTTGTTGAACAGCTGTTTGTTGCGAGTAACAAAGTATCTCTGGGTTCGTGCGTGTGCGTTCTCACGCGTTATCATCGAAGGCTTAGGTCGAACCGCGTTCTCGTTTCTCGTTTTCGACTAATGTCGATTCTTTCTGAAAGTTCGTGAAACGAAGCGATTCCGCTTAGGAACTGATCGACCTATAAACCCTCGTACGAAAACTCGACGAGCACAACCCATTCAGGATTCGGAATATTCTCTCACCGATCGGTTAGGCGCAGTTTCTTTGACCAGAAATCGCGTTCACATTAGACGACTTTCGTCGAACGATGGCCAGGTCGGATTCATTTGGATCGTATTTGACATAAGCAACTTCGGCTCGATCGATCTTCGTTACAAACGGTATAAGGACAGCGTCTGTCGAGTTAAATGACCAACTGACAGATTAAACGGATGACAGCAAGGACAATTTGCATTTTCGACTTGGATTAGTCGCGATCGCTCGTTCATTATCCTCGAGCGGCAATTGAAAGCGGCTAATGCAAACGCGTTTTAAGCGCTAATTGGACGAATCGCGAGACGATCGAGCACGCGGAAGAGAGGGCGAGTAACGAGTCCGTGAAAACGCGGATAAGAAAGAAATCCCAGCGGCGGAAACTGAATGGGTCGAGTCGTAGTGAAAAAAAAAAAAAAAGAATAAAAACGAAGAAGAACGAAAGAAAGAAATCGTGGTAGCCTTAATTATTTCTCTAGACGAGTAGGTTACGAGAGAAGTAAAAGCAGAAGGACGGACCGCGAAGGTGGGTGCGAAGGTGTTGGTGCGACGTGTAGTGGTTATTGTTCTGGTTCTTGTACTGGTTCTTGGGGTCGTTAGAGGAGGTCGACGACCGGTTCGACAGGCCGGTGGCGTCACCAGGCCATCGCATTCCGCAGCAGAAATCCGCATCTGTAACACCCAACAACCAACCCTTGCCCACGTCTCATCCTTTTTTTTTCTAATTGATTATTTTTTTTCGTTTCGTTTCGTGTTACTACCGATCGGTTTAACTGTTCGATCCTACGCTCGCCCTCTTTCCATTCATCTTTACTTCTCGTTACAATCGTCTAATCAACCCTCACCCGTCCCTCGTTGTCCCAATTCAATTTGCAAAAGCAAATTATTTCTACATACGAAATTAGCAATTACAACAAGCTGATGCGACCTACAGGCCTTCACACATGTACAAGTTGGTAAATCAAATGTATAGAAGTAAAACCTCGTGAGAGCTACTCAACGAATTTGTATCACAGATAATTATGGTAAAACGTATTACGTGCATGAAGACCTCTTGAATTGACGGAAGGGACGGGCGAGCGTTAATTGCGAGTACGACACTGGAGAGGTCTATTAATAATTACTACGACACATGGTTGAAACAAAAACGAAAAAGAAAAGATCCCGACGCGAGCGAAGATCGTGCGTTAAAAGTAGAAGCTTCCTCCCATCGGGATATCTCGGCGAGACAGAGATTCTTCGCGAGCGATTCGTTATCCGATCGAACAGCGTAGAGAATAGCAACGGGAAAGTGGAGGTTGTAAATTTCGTTAGAGTCTTAGTTAGTGTGTAGAATTTCTGTGACACCCAACAACTCTTGCCCACGTCTCATCTTGTTCCTACGTCCGCCCACGCGACCACTGGCTGGCAGTAGGTATATCGAGTTGTCGAGTTAATATCTTTTCTCAGGGAAATCGATAAAAAGACGGCGCATCCTCATCGGGAGGACAAATATTTTCGACGTTGATTTCGCCGTTGAAACACGCGCCAAGTAAATGACGAGGGCGCGCCAAATAGATTTCCAATTAACAACCGATCGGCTCGCGACCCATTTACGCTTTGTTTTTTCCTGTTTCCTCGGGACGGACTTTTACTTCTTACGTGGAACGCAAGCAGCCGATCGAGAGAAAAAAATAAAGCGAGAAGGCTTTGCAGGAAATCAAGATTACTCGGAAAAAGAGGCGGAAAGCTCGCGCTGCGACGTACATAAGGTACATACGTAATTGTACATATGTATGTACGTGTGTACTCGTCCTGATGAAGCCTGAATAATGCAGTCCTCATGCTTCGGTTCGAGCACCGCGTCCATCGTTCGTTTCGTTAGAAAATCGCGACTCTTCACCCTCGTACCCGTACTTTACCTCCCAATCTCGTTTCAAAGTTCGTTACCTCTCTTCACGAGCTCGCATCTAAATTCCGCGCTCTAACAATTTGCCCCCGACCACCTCGTGTTCGTATTAATTCCGCTACAGAGATTTTACCGCGGCCTTGATTCGTCGCGACGAATCAAAATTTGCCGAGCGCATTCAAGACTAAAGTCCGAGTCTAAGTAAAAACGTGCGCGCGTCCAACCGCGGGACAAACAATCGACGCGTCACCCTATTGTCGTTCATCGTTCCCGATTGAAAACGTTCCCAGCAATGGCAACAGCAACGTTGCGGGGAACGAAAAAACAACACGCGTACAGACGGCGAAGAGAAAAGCGATACACGCGGTTGTTTTCCACTTCTAGAGGCTCGTCACCGTCCTCCTTTTATCTCGCGGCCACGCTCTCGAGTCTCGAGCCAGCTAGCTTGCTTTCTTTACATTCGCTCGGCGAGAACAAATGATGTCGGTGCTCCGGGGCGTCGAGCGTCGCGACGTGCCAACTTTCACCGTTTCCTACTCTCCCCGATACGTACAAAGGGAGAACCGAGCTTTGTACGGAACATGGGCCCTCTTTCAAATGATAAAAAGTTGTCTCCGCGATAGGCACTTTACCCGAACGCGGAAATCGTTTCACGCCTGACGAGTATTCCAGGATTATTACGTCGCTAACTCTACCGAAACCAAAACTTACCGTTTCCGAGTTTATCGAGGGATATCTTTGAGAATATAATTTAAAAAAAAAATCTTACATGTGTTTTACATATTACGTTTGTAATTTTAAAACGAAGAAAATTTCGTAGCCTACTGGGCCAGTACGACAGGGGTCAGAGGATGACGTAGTTCGTCGTTTAATTAAGTCGTTGGAAATGACAGTAATCGAAGTACGTGTGATAGGCGAGGATCGTCTGGAGCCCGAGAATCAATAGCGGATAAGGCTGAACACTCGAGATCTTTATTTATCGGCGCCAAGATGGAACCGCGAAGTACCACCGTCGTTTCGAGGACGTGACAATCCCAACTGTTTAATGGCCGCAATAATCGTCGGAGCGTTTCACTCGCCGCGAACCACGGATACTGTCCCGCCGCGTTATTTGCGTTCGAATGTAAATCTGGAGACCGTCCCCGTACCTATTTTTTACTTGATAACGAGAGAACGCGTGGTGCATCGCGGCTCTCGTAAGAAGTTTCGTGTCGCTGACGAGGACGTTGGGAAAGAGGGTGAAGAACGCTTCGGACGAGCCGTGCCGCGAAGCAGTAATTACTTTCAACGATAAGGCTGGATGCAGACGAGCGTTCCTCTTTCTTTTTTAATCACATGTTTTATCTCTATCCATTTAACTGTGAGAACGAAGAGAAAAACGTTGCAGCGGTGTTGCTCGTCTGCATGATCTTTCTTGTGGCTGCATAAACTACTAGCTGCCAGTTTATTGTGACGATATCGAAAATCGAGATAGAAGCTCGTCTGTGCAAAAGCTTGTTGAAGCCGAAAATATTCGTTCACCGAGTTTGGGAGATCCGACTGACTCTGCAACCGAGAGGTTACAGATCCGAGTATAAGAAAAAAGTCCTTGACCCGCTTCTCAACCAGCCATAACGTCGATATAGTTGGTAATAAACATGGGAATATATTTTTAGGAACGACGAAGGTTATACAGTTATTCAAATTTATTCTCGGAACCGTCGACGCGTTAATACTCCGGTTGAATTATCAGTAGAATATACCGCGGCAAGTCAGACGCGAAATCGTGAAATTTCATCGGGGTCGTAGGTACGTTCCTCGTTTCACGGAGAAAGAAAATTCGTTGGCTCGAATAAGAACGCTGCGTTTATATTACCGTTACGCCGTGCTCGCCCTAGGCAGCACAGCCGGAGTGCATTATAATTGCATGAAATAAACGCCTCGCGAATCCTGTTTCCAACAATGCTCGTTTCTCGCGAAACGGGAAATGGTTCCTTGTCGTTTATTGAATCGATGATTAATTGCCTGATGCCGAGTAAATTTGCACTGGATTAAATTCAGGCCAGACACCGTTGCCGTAAATTAATATAAATCGCGGCTGAAACATTTTCGCGTCACGTCAGGTAGCCTAGCCCCGACACAGCTTTTTACTCTGCTCGTAGAATCGTTTCATTTGCACGCCGGGATAATTAAAAAGCTTGTTAGCCTCGAATTAAATTCATTCGAATAGTCAGTAAAACGCAGACGTAGTCACGATTCGATGGAATTGCGTGGACGACTCTGAAACTTCTCCACGATCGAGCATCTCGCGGTAAGGAAAAAATGTCGACTCCGCGTTGAAGAAATTTGGGAAATGCAAGGATCAGTTCGGACGAACCGCGATAAAAATGTCGGGAAGCTCTGACCGGTACGATTTCAATCTCGAGAAGAATTCCGGTCGCCTTTAGCCTGCAAATTTATTACCGGCTTGAATTGGATTTCTGAGGGAGCGACGGCGGTGGCGAAGTAAACAGCTGTTGGCAGCGAAAGCCGTGAGCCGAGAGCCCCGGACCTAGGAGCTAGTGATAGAGGATAGCATAGGTCAGACGGATCTCCCGAATCGGCCTGCCTATAGTCGTTTCGCTATCAAAGAGACTGATTTTTATTTTTCCTCGTTCCCGGATTTCCTCTCTCCTCCTTCATCCCACCCGCCCCTTTGTGCTCCCTTTTCGTGCCGCTTTATACCCTTTCAGGTTTTATTTTATTTTCCTTCCTCCTCGGTTCACTTTCGTTTCCTTTCATCGAGCTTTATACGAAATTCTCTCTCGCCCGGCCATTGACAAACGCGAATCTTTCCTTTAGGGTTTACGATGTCTCCCGGTCTCGTTCGAATGTACCAGCGCGCAGAAATAAAAAGAATTGCACGGACGCGTCCAGCACGTAAATTCAACAAGCACGCACAACAGGCACGCGACTCGAAAGAAAGAGTGAGATTTTACGCGGTTGAAAAAAAAAAATGGGAGATCGACGTTTCTCAAAAAGATTGATTATCCTACATAGAAAAGCTTCGCGTCGTGTGACGGTCACAGTAAAAACTTCACCTCGTTACTTTTTTAGACGCTTTTTGTGAAGTGTATTTGTTCCAATTATATTTGTCCTCATTACACGCTGTATAATATATATCTTACGGGCAAAATAGCTAGGAAATAAAGATTAAAATGTTAACGAGATGAAATTTGTACAGAGCGCGGAGCTGGATTAATTATCACGCGACGCGAAATGCTTTTACCCAACACTTAAAGTTGCCAGTCTCGACTCGACGGTTTCGTAAGATCACGTAGGAGAAACGAATAATCCGGTTTCGTTTGTTCACGTGCCGGCTGATCAGCGTGATCTCTCAGGTTTTCACGATTTCTAATATAGAGTACCCTTTCGACGAGGGGTGAGCAGTGAGCTGTGGTTGTGTGGTGCTGTATGGTGGTAGCGGTGCCGGTGGTGTTCGAGGTGCTCTGGATGATCGGGGTCATTGGGTACGAGGTATTCGGGGGTGTAGTCGTCTTGGCGGGTGTGGGGCGGGGGCCTCAGTGTACCTTGGACCGGGGGCAGAAGCCGCTTGTCGTAACGCGTCGACAGCAGCAGGTTGTCCAGGATCTCCTTGTCCGACTTGCCCTCCTCGAAGCTGCAACACAACGTATTGTAGCTAGAGCCCCGAAAATACACCACCACCACGGATATCCACGAAGGGTTTTCATTTTTTTGTCTCTTTTTTTCTCGCTTTGCTCGTGTCATCCCCTTTTCCTTTTTCTCGCTCCATCGAGCGTTAGCCACTCCAGAATAGATGGGCAAAAATTACCCGGCTACTTCACAGGTACTTTATAAGATGCTCGACTGACCGTGAGCCGAGGCAGCGGTACTCGCCGACTAATACGAAGATACTGCAAACGATCGCCTGCTAACCGAAACTGATGAAAAGGAACCAATCGGGATTCTCGCTGTCTCATTAATTCGAGAATCTCGTGGATACTCGGGTATCCGGGTAATCCTTGTTCTCCCATAAATCACACAGCTTTATTGACCGTCCAGGAGGTCGATCAATCCGGTTCCTCTCCCTCTTTCTTCCTCTCTCCCTTTATCGAGTAACCAGACATTACGCAAGATATAAGAGAAAACATGAACGATCTACTATCGACAAATTATTCGTACGCAGCTCTCTAAACGCACTACATACGTATGTAGGTCGTAGGTTATCGTATCAAAAACAGCTTCTACCTTCGAGCGTCGCTTTCAATTCAATCCCGTAAGTCGCTATTTAATATAATTATAAAAGTCTCCGATCGTGACTACATCACGATCACTAAATATTCAAACTTGTCTAGACGGGCTAAACGTGTACGATGCAATCGAACGAGTCGTGGGACGTCGGTCGAAAGTCATAGCTAGTTCGCACCAAACGTTTTAAGTCTGTCGACGCGGCTCGTACTCATCTACTAATAAAGCAATACTATATCGGTTCCAAAGCAAACTTGGAACCACGAAATAGTAGCTACGACGATGATTTTACAACCCATAGAGAAACTTAGCTGTTTTTCGACCACCGTCCCGGTTAATAACGAGACAAGTTTGCGCAGTATTAAACGTAAAACAAGTATATGTAAGAGCCTTTGAAACGAGGCGACATTAACGGCGATTATCCGCGTACAAGTTCATTCGACATAATGCATTAAAGAGAAAAGTTGGCACAGTCGGATTTTACGACAGACTGTGATCGTAGTTCGCTGGGTAATCACCGATTTAATGCCGTTCTCTCGGACCTATCACAAGCAACAAAAGTCTACAGTGGTACCTTCTTATCTTCTCGGTCCGGTTTTAATAGACAAATAATTTGTTATCGATCAATTCTATCTCTATTCCGCGTTCTGTACTTCATAAGTGGATTGACTTCCACTGACGTTTTGCATGCTAGATATTTATTGACGGCATCGAGAAGTTAAGAAAGTGTATAACGCGACGATATTCTTATCGCGTGTCCCATTGAATACGTACATGTCCTCGGCACGCACGAGAGTAACGAGAGTGAGGGCAAGTGTGAGGATACAGAGGATGGTGAAGATGAGGGAGCTTGCGAGGGAGGTGAGAGACAGCGAGAGGACGGACGAGAGGCGGCCGCCACCACCCGCACACCGCCCTAGCGCCACCCAACCCATTCTATGTCATCTGTAACAGAAAAGCAGAGAGCACGTTTTCCATTATTAGTAGCCTTCCTCTCTCGAGAGTCATTCTTCTAGCAAACCGAGCACCGCATATTTCTAGAACCGAGAACCAGATTAACTCGACTCTAGATACGCATATCATTTTATTGAACGATCAAACAGTGACACAATTTTCAAACTGTAAACTCGACATCGGGCTGATCCTTATATACGTTTAATTAAAAAAAGAGCCATGTTGCTTTGTTTGAGGATGAAAACCAGTAAAGAGACTCGTCTCGACAGCGTGGTATGTATAAAAAGCGATGAAACGAATCACGTTGCCTCGACCAATAACAGGCATTCAACGATTCGGCTTGAAAGCGAAAAAGATGAAGAGAAAATTTGATCGATGCGGCGGCGGCGTGGAGAGAGAGATCGATTCTCGGCGGAAGTTGTTTCACGCGACAGAGACATTCCTATCTTCCACTTGCCACGGTTCAGAGTTTAAACGCTCGATACACGGATGAAAATGTTCAACCGGTACCTGTTACTTGTACGGATTACGGGTACGCTTAGCCCCAGCATGCATTACAAGAGGGGAGAAAGGTTACCCTTCAAAGACCTCATGGAGTGGGTATACTTTTGATCTACGACCTTTTATGCGATTCATACATATAGGTGTAGGTGTCTGACTCACGGAGGGTCTCCGCTCGACCCGATCCCTTTTCAGCGGAAACCGACAAATAGGACCGGTGCCTCCGAACAAGGGAAGCGCAATTTCAAAGCACGGACATCCCGGCTATCTCCGCGATTCCGTTTCACCCTCCTTTTTCGCGTTAGCCTACCTTTGTTCCACTGGATTGGCTTCGAGCACGAAATAAACTCGCTCGGCCGTGATTCAACGTTCTCTCTCATGAATCTTTGCGACCGTTTCCTTTACGGGTTCATGCGAGTAATCTGATCCAATGTTTCTCTTTCGTGGTAAATTTTGTCCAAACCATTAGAGGAAAATATCAAATGCGTTAACGCATTTCATCGTGAATTTAAACATGACTAATAAATTGTGTTAATTAAATTGTTATACTCACAACACTAAATTGGGACACAGTGTAAAGAAAAAAAATTATAAGCTTAACGACTTTAGAATTGTTCTAAAATTAGATTGTAAATGGCAGATGCTCCTTGTTGAAGATCGTTACAAGCTGTTTCCTTTGAAAATCGCATGGTACGCTGAGATAGTTAAGCTACCTTGATGCTTAACTAGCATTAGACCCCGAGCTTAACTGCAGGGGAAATTCGTCTGAGAGTTGCCAGTCGAGTCGAGTCTCAGCTCGTTTTCACGTCGCGCTAGCGCTCCTCGAGTAGCTTGTCGTGCAGGACCGTTCCAAGTTCCTTCGCGAACGCGTCGAGGACCGTCGCCATTCTTTCTTTCCACGACTCTCACGGTTCTAGGGCCTCTCCTTTCGCGACAATACAGAATTTTTTCCCGCCACTCGAATCGCTCGAGTTTCCGTTTCGCTCGTGGCCACCGACTACCCGAGCACGAGAAACATCTCGTAACGTCGTCCGTCGGCCCGTAGCTAGAATCTCAACGACTCGTCGTTCGGAGACAGTGTCCCTAATTTAATGCAAATCCTATCAGTAGCGCGAGCCGGTAACGAGATTTTAAGCCGGCAATGAGATCGGAGAAAAACGGAAACTGGCCGTTTCCCGCGTCAAATTGCCAATCGGTGTTTTCCACTTCTGCGGCTTCTAATCCAATAATCGGTACACAGCCGAGCCTGTCAAGGAATCGACGTTTCGACAAGATCGAGCGTGCCTCGTAAAGTCAACAATCCCTTTCTGATAATACATATTGTAATCTTGATTTATACATTATCTGGTAGCAACGTTTTGCTATTGAACTAATTCTGACTACAACTATTCCTTAATATGTACAAATTCTCATGCCGCGAGCTGTTTTTGTCCGAGGGAGTTGAACGATGTCAACTAGTTACGAGCTGGAACCAGAACAATCGGAACTATCGCGAGAAACCCTTTAACTAGAACGTGCGCACCTGGATTGGTACCCGCGAGTTGTAGCACACGCGAGAGCTCGAAATTAAACGATTATCCGATACAATTGCAGCTAACCGGGTTCCGAATTCGCCAGAATTTAAGAAGGTCCTTAATTGGATCGGTAAAACGAGCCATCGGGGATGCTCGGGAAACCAGGGAAGATAAGAAACGGCTCTCAGTGTCTTAACGAGCACCGTGAGAACAAAAACGGTCGTCGCTCTAGTCAATTCTGTCCGACAGGATCGAGGGAACCGTTCTCACCGTTTCGCTAGCTTCGTTCAAATTGACATGTAAATTAATTGACTTCCTTTCCTACCCCGCTTAGTTACGAGCAAACGATAAAAGATTAAAAGGGTCAGACTATAAAATACTCGCTTTTATCTTCAAATCCACTCCAAGCAGAGTCGTATATACACACTGATCTCTATATAACACTGGATAATACACTGGCATGGTCTGTGGTGTAAATTTTCACTATGGTTTGATGTTTCACTAATGCATATTGAAAAATTGGAGGAAGTTAACTCCTCGAGGTCAGTCCGCAGCCCCGGAAGCGGGTAGGTTGCACGTTTGAAACGAGAACGTGCTGGGTGACACGGTGTAACTCGTCTCGATTTAACCAGCCCTGGCTCGTTTCCTCTCGTAGACACGATCGGCCTCTTGAAGCCTGCCCCGGGGCACTTCCACAAGTGCCACGTGTTTGCCGTCGCGTTGCTCCTCGAGGCAACTTTAAATTGCGCCGCCGCCGCGTTGATATCACGCACTGTGGCGTGCACCCGTCGCACGCGAATCGTCGCTGATCAACCAGTTGCACGCGCCTTTGTAACTTTTCTGCCCGCTGATCAATACCAATATCGCTTAACCCACTAATTACGAGAGCGCTACTTGTTTTAAGCCCTACTTTATAATTATTCTTTCTGCGGTAGAATGCCTGCAGAAGATGAGTTGATAAGAATTGTTAGCCACCGAGAAGCTACTACTAAAGAGTGGCAGTGCCCGTGTAATCGTTGGGACAACGAATGAGGCCCAATGGGAGTCAAAAATGAGTGGCAATCGCTCTTTTGGTTATAAGGAAATTCCATAGGACCTTTCTTGTATATGGCAACTCGAGGTACAACATTCTTCTGAAAAATTTTTCGCTGGGATAAAGAACTCCCATAAGGCTGTCACTCTTTAGTAATTTCTCCTCGGTGAGTTAGCTAACTCCGTTTTGCAATTTTATATGAAAAGACCGGTGCATTCCAGTGACACTTCCAGCCTGGAACAATTAATAATCTGATTTCGGATAATCATCGACTCATCCTCGTGTTTCTGGTTCCGTCCTTCCTTTCTGCACGCCGGCTTTTCCCGCGACGAACCCGATCCTCTTAATTACGTCGCCGGATGAGCTCCGTTTTCCGCTGGGAATTAAAAGGGAATGCGGGAATGCGGGAACGGGACAAGCGAATAAGGGCAAACAGGGGAGATTCGTTTATTCGTTCGACTTCCCTTGCCCGACCAAGACAAAAAGTCTTTTCATAAAACTCGGTTCCAGTTGGAAAAAATGCTGGGCGGCTGAAACCCGCGGTAGGAGAGAGAATATGAATGAATAAAGAGAAGCGGTGACCGGGCACGGTGTGCTTTAACCGCGACACCGGACGTTTAAAATAACGGCAAACATTTACCACTAGAAAAAAAGATTTCACGATCCCCTCTCTTCCCCCCAGTAATTGCGAGCAGAAGTCGAGACCAGCGTTGAAAACTAATATTTTAACGCGTCCACCCGCGCCGCGACAACTCCGATGGCTTAATAATTTCCAGCTTAACCGCAAGCTTCGTTAACGCTACGTTCAATTTTATGTTATCCGTACACCCGATTCATGTGACACGGGAAATCGAATTTCCACTTTCTGTCTTCGCTCGTTTGTGTAAAAATGATTTTCACATTTTATCCCGCGCGCCACTAATTCGTCTTTACTCGAAACGAGAAGCTTCGCATCGCTTTTTGATCAACGAGATTAAATCCGTAAATTATTTTCACCGTGCCGAGGAATCGAATTAATCAACGATGGCTTAACGAGTAACGGCGTATACCTTGGCGAATAATTTCTCCCGGAGATGGAATAATATTGAAAGAACGATATTCTTCGCGCTACTCGAACAAGCTCGCACATTAATCGCCTTTCCCGCTATAAATACTCTTCCTCCGGTTCTCCGTCATCGACCGACGCGCGTTTCTCGCGGGAAATCCTTGATAAGTCGCATCGTTAAAACGCTTTGTGCGCTGACAAAGCGAAAATGAAAATTATTCGATAAACTTTCTCTAAATATACTTGCGTATTAGTGGCGCGACTAAACGGATGTCAATAATAGCGCGCGATTATAATCAGTGCACATAAGTTTGATACATGACGGTGATAAGGCCAGTGAGAACTATCGTTTGATAAGGCTGTCACAATGAAACACATCGTAGATAGAGATGGGATTTCGCGTGGACGTTAAGGAGAAAGGACTGAAAGTAGCTCGGCGAGTAGTAGTGGACAGCGGTAGTCAGACCGGCAGGCGGATAGGTACGAGTACCACGCTACCAAACCAACCTGTACAGCTGATGTTCGTTCGATCAATACGGGGCGTTGCGGCACGAAACGCTATAGACTATGTCACGTGGCTTAGCCCGTCCCATTCTGGAGTCCGCGACTCCTTCCGCCACCACTCTCTCCCCCTCTTTTTCTACCCCTTTCTACCCCTTTTTAGCTTGCGCTCGTCGCAGGATACCTTCCTTCCGTACCTGACCCCGTCCACGAAACCGCGGAATTTCTTCCTTTATTTCTCCCATCTCTTCTTCCTAGAGGAAAGATGTAGAGGAAAGATACCTTATTTCTATTCTTAATTAATAGTACGTCTTCAGAAAAATATTCTAAACCTGAGAAACAATCTATATAAACTGTAATCTATTAAAATTAAATCTTGGCATCTGCTTAGCGATAAAAAGTTACGTATTTTATGTTTTATATAATCTCGCGCTCCTTGTTTTGCCTGGGAAATTGATCGGATAAGCAGCGATATTACGTGTTGGAAATATTTGTTATGCATGCTTATTCCCTGACGGTTTTAGCTCGGGTGGCGCACTGGGTGTCCTCTTACCAGTAGGTATCTGCGTCTTCCCTAATTCCGTGGTCAGATCCTCCAGGAATCTTCGGATCTCCCCGATCGTATGTCTTTAGCAATGCAACGGTCATCGAAAATTCTGTCACATTGGATAGTTTCGACTGAATCTGATTTCCGGATACCCACCCTCCATTCTACATTCTTTCCGTCGACGAAAGAACTAAACTGAACGCGTGAACCGAGAAACTTCGAAACGAATTATTATCTGTCAAAATATAAGAATGCAAAGTTCATACGAAGTTTTGTTAGAGTCGAAAACAGTTGTGTCATACGAGTAGTTTTATTGATTCACCCTGCATGCATAAAATCTATCAACGTACCGCTTCAATTTCTTTTTAAAATATGCGCATGTCCTTTGTTTTCTAGATCAATTCATGATATATCGTACAGTCGCGAATTGAATCCGATTCGAAGCTAGATGAATTTTTCTTTCGATTGAACTTTCACAACCGTTATTCTATATCGAGATGTATGATATTCATATAAAATTTTCCACGTACTCGCGAAGGGACCTCCTGTATGTTAACGCGAAGGTAGTATTTGGTAGACAGGAAGACGCCGCTGTTACACCCACGCCAACCTTTCATCCAGCTTCTATCTGGGGCGAACGCAAGCGTAATATTTTGAGTAACACAATTTCCACGAAAGCTTTCATTCAATTCCTGTAATTAAGGAACGGGCAACTAGTTGACGTTCAAAGACGAGGCGAGGGGAACGCGACGCATCCTCGGCTCTTTCACGGCTATTTCTTTTTAACGAGAGACTGCGCACAAACAACGTGTCTCTTCTTCAGTTTACCCGCGTATACCCCCGGGGGGAATTAAAAAGTAGGTACTTTGCCTTCTCTTGCGACGAATCAAACAATTGGCGCGACCAAGCTTGCACCATCCTTTTTCCACGACTGACTTTCCACTCATTATTTACGGAAAAGTTGTATCAGCAGAAAATATAACGATCCGACCACGTGAAAACTAGAATGGATATTATTATTTTCAAAGAGTGAAATTTCAATTTAGATTCCATTTTCTAAATTGACATCGCAGACGTTTCACTCGAGCATTTTTGTTTGGCGAAAAAATTCAGCCAGCTCACCGAATATCTTATTTTTATTTCCGTTACACGCTGTGTCGTCACAGGCGAGGTAATGAAAAATTCTCTGCTACGTGTGTGCACAGCGGCAAGAAGTACTCCCAGATGTTTACGACGTGGGAAACGTTCCCATGACGCGAGATTTCGATTTGAAGAAGCGACGGCGACTTAACGATATGGATTTATCGGCTTCCGTCGGTTTCTGTTCCGATCCGCTCGCACGGATTCGAGGAAGTCGATAACATCGCAAAGGTGAAGGCGCCGGAATTAACTAGCTAGGTTAAGGACGAGATTTCAAGCCTCTCTAAACCGGGTCGGCCGCAATTTCACCGTGAACCACTTACGACTGGTTGTTCCTTGAATTTTTAACGCGATAAACGTATTCGTTTGTTCCGTGTCGGCGTGCCGACACGACACCCTCTTTCCTAACGCGATACAACTTTTTCCCTTGCCAAGAGAAATTGAGCTTTGAAATTTTTATCACGTAGTACCTACATTGTTTCCGATTCGAAACACCTACTCTACTAGTTCCCCGACTCTTTTCACTGTTTCAATCTTATCCAATTTCTATTTGTCCATCATACGATCCAACCGGATCCCCGAGATCGATCCAAGAAAAGAGTTAACCGTCGCGTGGAGCTTAAACGATTCTTAATATTAACGAGATAAGCAATCGAACTTATCTTGATCTTTCTGTTTTACTTACAAGGGTTTCCAAAGCAAAATGTAAACCGTATATTATACCGATTCATCGCCTAATCAATTCTGCTCCGTAGAAAAGGGCCAATCACAGGTGAAACTCTAAAACTCCTGGCTATGTGGAGTTCGCCAAGGGATGAAAGAAGAAATATAGAACCGACGAGATGTACCAAGATACCAACTTCCTTCCGGAACCGAGATACGAGAGTTTCCAACTTTTTTACGCTTCCAATCCTGCTGCTAAAATTCCTGAGCGAAAACTTTTTCACTGAATAATCGCCTGATCGTTTCTACTCTAATTACTTGACCGTTCGATTGTCTTTTCGCAAAACTGCAGTCTGGACAAACTGTACAAACTTTACCCGTACTCAACTCCGCGCGACCAATGTTCCGAATTACAATTTTGTTTAGCGGGAGTTCGCGATGCATTTAAAGGTATTCGCGAGCCCTTGAATAAATACTCGCAGGTCCATGGATAAATCTGGGAAGCCTCGAAGTGATTCCGTTATTTCAAGTCACGTCTCCTCGCGGAACGCTTCTCCTACGCTGCCTCTATATCTCGATTTCTCGGTCTCGCGGTTCAATCTCCCTTTTTCATTCTCTTCTCTCGATATTCTCTCACCGTCGCGTTTCCACCGCGGCGAATTTAAATTTGAAGCGAATAAATACGGTGCTCGGTGACATTCGCGCAGACTCTCGAACGACGTCGTTAAAGATGTATAGGCTATATATTTAAACAATGTTGAATTTGTTATTATAGATTCCTATTACTATTAAAAAGTTACCTGCCAAATTTTAAATCAATTCATGGTTTTTTTGAAAAATTACAATGACTTAAAATTTGCATGTTCTCTTATAGTAATCAGCAGTAACTCGAAGAAAACTTTCT